TAACTTTGTGAAGGGATGCCCCCTCCCCCATAAAAAACAATAATCTATAGTAGACGAATCATCAAACCAAAAAATCAAATAATAATATTTTTTTTTTTGTATTTTGAATCAGAAGGTCTTTGTGTTAAACCAAGATTTAGAAAAAAAAATAAAAATAAAAATAAAATAAAAGAAACTTATAATGTCATTAAATTTTTTTTTTTTTTGTCGTTGAAAGAATTTTCTTTTTTATTGAATGCAATAAAATAAATATTTTTCAACCATGAAGAAATCAATTTTGAGGTAAAAATCGTGAATTTACGTAACGAAATAAAAAAAAAAATTGTAGGCGTATATCATCACCGTGTAATTGCGTATAATTAATTATTTCGTTTTTATACTAATTAATTTTTTAAAATTATTATTATTATCGATACTAAAATGGGGGTTTTTTTAAATTTCCTTTATTACCTGAAACTAAACGTATATTTTCCTCTAAAAACAAACAACGTATTGTCAAGATAATAAATTATTTTTGGAATTTTTAAAACAATTATTACTATTAAAATATGATACAATAATTTATGCATATAAAATAACAAAATATTGTATCTGTAGAAATAATAATAAAATGAAAAATATTTTCCCAAACGTTATTTAAAAGAAAAAACAATTTTTTAAATAAAATACAAAAAATTATGACATGGAAAATATTTAGTTTAAAAATAATATTATTATTATTTATAAATAGTATAATAGGGAAAATTGATTTTCAACTACACACACACACAAACACGCACACGCACACACGCTTTTGAATGGTGAAAATTACACTGAATGAATCAAAATCGATTTAAATTAATAATTAATTATTTTAAATTAAAAATTATTTCAAATGAAAATTCGAAAAAAAAAAAAAAAAGATTTGAATTTGCGTCTACGGGATTTATAGACGCCGAACGTTTCGAACGTGTCACACAACAACAACAACAACAACAACGCCGTAAAAAACCTTTTATCATTATTATTATTATTATTTTGTTTTTTTTTTTTTCATGACAGAAAATGAAAAATGTATATAATAATAATCAAATGATTGAAAATTTTTTTTAAAAATAAAAATAAATTTCAATGAAATGGCGATATCAGATGAAATCGTGTACATAAAATATATTCTTCTTCATATTTTGTATATATTTATATTTATATAAAAATTAATTTAATAAAAGATTAATAGTATTGAATAATGATAAGAAATTTTAAAAAATAATAATAATAATACGATATATAATATGATATGAAAAAAAAACAGTAAAATGCTTAGGCCTTAAAAAAGGTGAATAACAAAAGCGATCGATAGCCTCGAGAAAAGTTCTATGACCCAATAATATAAAAAAAAATTGAAAATATTTTTTTTTCGTTTATTTTTTTTTTAAATAATTAATTAATTAATTAATAATTATAGTTTTTTTTTCACTTTTAAATTTTGTTTTTATTAATAATTAAAAACAAAAAAACAAAAAATTTAACGATGAGAAAAATCATATAAGGGTGAATATGGTGGGAAAACAAAGGTTTTTTTTTTTAAAAAAAAAATATTAACGGTGTTACGGGGGGAAGGGGGAGAGAGGGAGGCCACCTCTATATGTGAAAATTTATAATCGAAAATGTAGATGATAATGATGATAATGACTTATTATAAATAAATAAATAAAAAAAAAAAAAGAAAATTTAGGTCAGTATTTATCGATTTTATTGCTCACGCACCTCGTTTTCTCATTCTCATAAAAAAAAACTAAAAAAAAAAATGGAAAAATGAATTTAAGTTAAAAAAAATTTTTTTTTTTTAGTCTGATTAAATTAAATAAATTATTATTTTTTTTCCATATATAATTAAAATTAATTTTATTTTCTATATTTGATTATATTATTACAATTTGAATATTTAATTATTAAATAATTTATGTTTAATAATTAGTTATGACGACTAAAAGTAGTTTGTGTGTGAATGAAAATAATTTTAAGGTAACATATTATTATTATTATTATTATTAAAAGTTTTATTTATTATAAAAAGAATAAAGGCGCCCCCAAAAGTTAAATAAATTAAAAAATATTGATCTTTTTTTTTTTTTTTAACTTTATAAAGAATTTTATAATAAAATCGAGTTTTATGAATAAAAATTTCCGTCATGTTTTATATGTCTGGAAATTTCAATATATATATATATATATATATATATATATATACATGAACATATTGTAATTTATTATAAATTTTTATTATATTTAAAAACAAATAAATATGACGACTTTAAGAAAATAAAACATAAAAATAATAATAATAATAATAATAATAATGAAAAAAATTTTTTTTTCGATAAAAATCCAATTAGTTTTTTAAAAGTTAATCACATTGTGTAGTTCGTGACGTAAAAAAAAAAAAAAAAAAAAAAAGATTTTTGAGTCGACGCAGTTACTTTATTTTCAGCCTTTTTTTTAACGTAAAAAATTGATTTTACGATTTAATAGTTTATTTATTTATTTATTTATTCTTTGAGTTATCAAATTATTTTTTTTTTTACTTATTTTAGTAATAATAATAATAATAATAATAATAATAAGATTTTTTTTAACAAATTCAATTTCATTAAAACTGATTTTTTTTTTTTTTTTTGCGCATTGAAATAAATCTATATGATAATATATTGAATTTATCATTTGTTTTTATTCGGACGTTATTTTTTTTTCTTTTTTAATTTAAAAGAAAGAAAAAACAAATAAGAACAACAACATCATTGAATCATTTAATAAAATTTGTTAATAACGTTTTAGAATATTAAATTTCTCAGCAACAACAACAACAACAACAACAACAACCTCCGTCACTTTTAATAAAAAATTGTTTTTTTTTTTTTTAAATTACTTTTGTGATTTTTTTTTTTTTTTTTTTTCTCACGCAGGAAAACTGTCAATTATGATAAATCTTTATTGACTTTGTAAACCTCTCTCTTTATAATACGCAAGTCATGAGTTCAAAAATTGATTCTGGGGGTACAGAAACAATGTTGCCATCTGATTACGCCTCCGATGAAACTACCAGTCTACTCGTTTACGCGCCAATTAAAAATGACGTTGAAACCTCAAGACCTGTTTCGATACAAAGTTCAAGGAGTCAACAACAACAACAGAGGGATAAAAGTTTAAAAAATGGTAGCAAACCCATGTTGATTCGACAAGATTGCATGAGTAGCAGGTTATCAGTATCCTCTCCTCGTCCGCTTTTATCCTCGATGGGTGGCATGGTGAACGTCGGAAGCGAAGAGAGCGGAACGAGCGTGCCTATGGAAGAAAATGGAGTCCGTTCCGTACCGGATATAGAATTGCATTGTAGATTAAACGACGGAGGATCCCCGCATTTGCTAGGAGACGGAAGCGGAGGACTTTTTTACGGAAATGGAACACAAAGTCCGCGTTTGAGAGCTCGGGGTTCGAGTGTCACAAGTTACGGTCATTTAAATCCTAATTCTCAATATAAATACGATAGAAGGAGAGAATCTCATTCTCGATTATTATCGATGCCTAGATCGGTATCTCGGGAAAGCATAAGGTCAATTGGAAATCAACATATATATCAATGCACACCATATTCTGTAGCACCCGCAGTGCTTTTGACTACTACTTCGTCTAATTGCAGAGTAATCAGGCAAAGCTCTCAACCGGAATCATCACTCGGTAGGTTTTTATCACATTCACGAATTTTTCGGAATAAAAACAAACAAGATTTTTTTTTTTTTTTAATTGAAATTAAATTGATTTCATATGCAATGAATGGTGTTTTTTAATGAATAATAATAATAATATAAATAGGTATGCGCATGTATAAAAATTCTATATTAGGAAATATTTATAAAACTTTTCGGGTATTAAAATGAATTTATATTATTCTCGAAATAAAAAAATAAGTAGAGATGACATTTTTTTTTCTTCTTGAAATTAATTGTAATTATTATTTTAACAGGAGTAAGTTCTACGTATTGTTTGACTGCACCCAGTTCTTCCCTGCGTCAACTACGAGAACCCTGCGAAAGTGGCATTGCTACCATAGCTGCTGATTCTATGAGAATCAATGGTGCTATAAGACAGTTCAAACATGTAAGTACATAGAAAAAAAAAAAAAAAAAAACATTAACGTTATTTTTCTTTTTCACACGGTTTTTTTTTTAAAATTTTGATGGAGCTTTTGTATATATATATATATATATATATATATATATACATATTTATTTTTGGCTTATTCACACTCACAAAATTTATATTTTACTCATTTTAAATTTTAAATTTATAAATATCGTCGGTATGGGAATAATATAAATATGGTTATTAAAGTTTTAAATATAAAAAAAAAAATATTGTGGTGTCGAAACAATTTTTTTAAATATAAACAAATTTATTTACAAGTACAAACACACACACATACATGTATACGAATTATAAAAAAAAAAAAACTTTTTCTACAATTTTTTCTTTTTTGTTTTGTCGAACGGGTTCAGGCATCATTATCATCATCATCATCATCGTTATTATTAATATTATTTATATTCAGTTTTAAATAAAACTCGGAACTTTTTTATATTAGTAAAAAAAAAATTTTTTTAAATATTAAACTTAATTAAGTTATTTAAATGTTTACCAAGACAAATAAAGTTATTATTATTATTAATTCTTTAAAGTTCAGACATTTTAATAAGTAAATTATTTTGAATCATAACTCGATTTAATATAAATTTTTAATTTTTTTTTGTTCGAGTTTAATTGACTTTTTTTTTTCGGGGGGGGGGAGGAGAACTTTTTGATGCCCACGCGATTCTTTTTCTGACACTAAAATTTTCGTTAAAAAAAAAAAATTTCAAAGTTTGTAAGGCATTGAATATTCTTTTTTAAAAAAAAAAAGGATTTCGAAAAATAAAATAATATCATTTAGTAAAATATTAATAGCATCGGTAAAAGTACAAAAATAAAAATTATGATAATAATATTAATGTTAATTTAAAATAGAGTCGATTGTACAATAAAATGAAAGCAAATCAAATTTACTATTTATCGGAATAACCACGTGAAAAATTAAATTTTCTTTTTTTTTCCTATAAAAGTTAATTAAATTTTCCTGAAACAGTTAAATAACCGATTCTATTTTATTTAACGTGAATTACCACGGACCTTTTTTTTTTTTTTTTTTGCTTCGACTCAAACACGTAAAAAAAAAAAAAAAAAAAAATTGTTTAAAAAAAAAAGGGGGAGCTTGTGGGCTAATATTAATACATAATCTAAACGATATTCGTGTGAAAAAAATGTTTTATATTATTTTTATAATCTTTAATATTTATTTTCGATATACGGTCGAATGAGATAATATCATTATAATGTTTATTATTCAAACATCATAAAGTTTTTAATCATCTACAAATTATATATATATATATTGTTATGATTTAATC